TATATATATATATATATATATATATATATATATATATATATATATATATATATATATATATATATATGAACATTTACGACTGTGGTATTATATTTGGGATTCATTAAATACTTTCAAGATTTCAGTGGAATGTATTATTTTAGTCGTTATGTGCAGCTGAAACATTAGTAACTGTAATGTTTCAATACATTATGTTCTAAACATTCAGTTACATTTGTAAGAAATAGTAGTATATGATGTTTACATTCTAGTCTTAGCTTTTGGAAAACAATATCTTAATTTGTATACCTTATAGTTTATACAATATTATTCTGTTTTCTGACGACACTGAGAACTTTGGTGCAGGAAATGGATGCAGCAACATTTAAAGAATTTAGTAGTCATGAATGGCACATTGGGTTGGTAAGTGTTACAAACATGCTTTATAAAATCCTTTGCTGACTTCTGTTATCTATTCATTCATATATTCATTTACTTTTACTCATACACTCCTTATGAAGCTCAAATAATTCAAACAGTTTCATCTCACTTTTCTGTCTATGTAGCCAATTTCCACTTCTCATGATGATGAATGCTCAAAAAACGAAGTTCTGGTAATCATTCAGCATCCTCGAGCACAGAGATTAAGAAAGCTCAATCCATTTTCTAATTCCAGTGACTGCTTTGCCGTGTCAGATCTCAACACAAATTCATCTTCAAGCCAAACACAACAAAGAGCGCTAGCAACATGATGAATTATACCGCATCACTTGCTTACGCATTTTTCTAGCAAAAAGGATCCCTAGTTCCTGCAATGAAGAAATGGTGGAAAGTTAAGTGGCCCTGTGGCAGTCATCATCCTGGTTCGTAAATCGAAGCCGTGTTAGGTCACTCATATTTCAAACTTAGTAAATGGGACTTAAAACACCAACTCAAAATACGAGTCATTTGATATTCTAAATGACTTCAATTTACTAACCTTACTAGCTGTCCTATGTTTAACCCCAGAAAATCCTAATCTCGTGCAAAACAGTGAGTTTTAGCTCGAGTAACTCAGTTTCAGATTAGAGGCAGTTGCAGATATGTATCAATACATTATCAAAGTAATTAATAGTGTGCATATTCTTCTTGATTTCAGTGTCTAAATTTGATGTTTTCAAGAATTTGACTTTTGATCTGGTACTAAGAGTCTAGGACACAGTATGCTCTATTGACAATGAAAGTTGGTCCACTTGCCTAACTTCCTCGAGTTGGGACAGCTCTATGGTGAAAATTAACATAGTTTTTTCTCTTCTGCATTGATCACATTGAACAAGCCAACCAAGTAAAGTTGGTACTTTAAAACAAGACTACAAAGTCTGACTCGTTGAACCAAGAACGGCACTAAAACCTTTCAAGAAAAAAGAGGTTTTAACAAGAAATTTTAGAATGGGATTTAATACCTAGTGGTTACCATTTGAATTTCAATGTACTTCAAAGAGAAATGGTGGGAACAACACTACCTTTCTCCTATATGTTTGGATTGCATATTCTTACTGTCACCGATGCACGCATTCACGTATTTGGTGCTACCGGTGACTATTAGATCAAAATCAAACGGATTATATTTAAGTTTTATATTTTATATTATAATTCAAAAATTCAAAAATATATTTTGAACCATAAAATTTTATAAGTTTAGGTTTTGTTTGGATTGACGGAACTGGATGGAGCGGAACGGAATAAGATAGAATAAAATGATATTTTATTCTTTGAATAATTTAAAAACGGATAGAACGGAGCGGAATAAACTTGTATGGATTTTATTATATTCCATTACTTACTACCATATTTCTTCTCTTCCGATTTGGGCAGAATGAACAAATTATTTTATCCAGTCCTAAATTTCCAAACAATATCTAAACATAGCCTTAAAGTATCAACTCCCTCCCTTAGTTGCTGAAATCAGATGAATTGGATAAATTTTGATTTAGATTATAATGGAAGGATTAAAATAATTTATTATTAAATTTATACCCATTAGGCTTTCATTAAAGTTCAATTGATCAATAATCCATAAGAAAATTGAACGAAGATATTTTTTTGAGGAATGAAGGAGAACTATGATGTGGAGTTGAGTTTGGATTGACTAACTTTGCACTACTATGCCTTTGAACCTTTGTCTTTATCTCTCATTACTAATTTATTTTTTGTTGACTTAAATAATTTTATTTATTCAATCTATATCTATTTAATACTAAAGGTACCAAAGGTATCAAAAAGAAAAGTATCAAAGTTGTTTCAATGAACATGATGTCTCGTAGGGAGAGACTGTTGGATGAATCTAAATGTTTAGGATGGAATGACGTCTTGCTTCAGTGCAGAGCTCCCTAGTGATACTTAATATGTTTGTCAACTTGAGTTAACGTGGAATTTGGATTGGAACTATGAGTTAAGTTTGTCTTATCAGGCCGTACGACAAGTCCAAAGTCCCCCGTATAAGTCATTTATCAGTCATGAAACCATGATTTGTGTTATGAGAGTGCTAAGACCAACCTCGATCTGAGCTTCGTTTAGAAGTGCGGGATACGTTAGAAGAGCTCTCCGAGAAAAAGGAGCTTCCGTTAAGAAGTTTACTAGGGGTTGGTAGCCTCGAAAACACACACATTAAATACTTGACTCATCATGAAAATGTTGCTTCAAGGAGGACCTTCACATGGATCTAGGCTCACAGGGGTAGGGAGGTGCACCCTTAGGGTGCTTGAGCACACTCGGGCGTCGTTAGGGAATCAAGCCTCTATTTGGACGGTTGATCTTGCCTTTCGACATTTCTTTGATTCTAAGCTATGGATCTGTGTGCTTCTAGTTTCTTGTAAATTAAAGTAAGCGCAATCAATTTCTCTATTTTTTTTCCTTTCTTGTTTCATTGTATTATAACTCCTCTCATTTATCTTGCGATTTTCGTACTCTTGTGATTTTTCAGTGTTCTTATTTCTTCATTCCCAATTGCAAATTGGGGTCTCCCATGGCTTTACTTCTCCATCTTTGACAATCTACGAGCCCTCAGGGTACCCATTTCTTCTCTTATTATTTAAATTGTTGGTGCTCGCTTTATAGACATTGCTCACATGGGAAGCCTACATGTCCCATTTGTAAACTTAGTTAGTGATGATGAACCTAGTAATTCATCCTCTCAAATTGGGGTAGAAGTGGTAGACCTAGTCAATTTAGAAGTATCGTGAGGCGAAGTTGAGAATCTTACGGTGAGCTTCGTAGAGGTTAGAGGGCTTGATGGAGTTAGGTACTCATAAATAGAATTTATTGAAGTGATAGATGCTTCTCTGAGATAAAGAAGATACTCTAGATATCGATATTGTTGAGATATAGAAAAACGCCCCAATGAGATTGATATCATAGAGGTTTCCCAAGGATTCTTCTTCCTAGCCTTGGTCAGAATAAAAAGTTTATATCCCCCAATACATCAAATAAAAACATTTCAACTAAAAAAACCCTAAAACAAAAAACAACTAATTAAAGAAAAATCCTCATTGCATCGGAAATAAATTGCAACGCACTAACATAATATGCTGAAAAACGCCATCGAACTTGGTCAGTGTATGGAGCAACTCCGCCTCCACAAACAACGAAAAATCTATCTAGGTAGTCATGTTCTTTTCATATATATTTAGATATTTATTTGATAGAAGTTGGACCTAATGTATATTAGGATGATGTGATTCTAACATGGACTCATTAATCGATTTAGCCTTTCTCAAATTAAGTCCACCCTAACCCTTAGGCGGAACAACAATACATACTTCATCCAGTGACAATTTTTGATGCCCCAAATAAATTGTTCAATGCTAAAATCAATCCTACTACAAACACTTTATGGAAATCAAAGATTATTCAAAGTGCAAATGAACATAGAATTGAGAACTGATTTAGCAAGATTGACTTTACTATCCCTACTTAATAAAAATCTGAATTCTTAACTTTCCCAAATAAAAAGAGAAAACTGAGATATTTCTAATATTGAAAATATGTTAAAATTCTATAATACTCTCCAATTGAGTCATTTTAGATCTGATAAGGTTTTTAGAAAGCACAAGCTTGAATTTATAGAGGTTAATTTTCATTTCCGAAATCGAACAAAAAGAATATTTATTTATGAAAAAAATATATTAAAAATTTCTCAAAATAAATTTGAAATTTATTTTTCTCCAAATCCCCATTATTTTTCCCCCTTAACTCGTAAACAAAATTTAAAAATATTTTTGAACTAATAATATATATAATAAGTTGAAATAATAAATATTAAGTTTTATTATTTAAAATTAAAAATAATAAATAAAATTAAATAGAAAATAATAAAACTCGTACCTCTCATTTTATCTATCAAATTTAAAATTTATTGAATGAGATTTTATTTTATAAAAAATGCTAACGAGTGTTCTTGAACACTAGTTAAGAATTAAAAAATATATATTTTTATTTAAAAATACTTATATTTAATGAATTGGAAATTAAAACAATCTATCTTTTATAGAATAAAAGGTATGTTTTTTCCTTTAAAAAACTTCTATTAATATAATATTAGAGCATTTATTAGCATGGCCTTTATTTTATAATTAAAGTACTTGCTTGGAATGAAAATTGAAGAGTCCATAATCCCCAATACAACAAACAAAAACATTTGAACTATTTAACAAAAAAAAAAAAACATTTCAACTTAAAAAAAACCTAAAACCCTAAAACTCATCAAATCTCGTTGCGCACTGAACATAAGGCCGGAAAACGCCGCCGGAGTTGGTCGGCACAGGGAGCAACTCCGTCTCCAGTAACAGCCCCAAATCCATCTAGGTATTCCTCTTCTTTTTCATATCTTCCTTCAGCTAGTGCGATTAATCGATTTGCGTAACAAAGCAGATAATCGCGTTTCAGAAAAAGCTATAATTTACGATAAAAATAGTTTAGCTTTTAACTGTTTATTGATTTAGTCTAGCTATATATGTATGTGAAGGTGAGAGAAGAAGTAGAAGATGAAGACTCTTTCGGGACGTTGTGAATCATCGAAAGCGATATCACTTTCCAAAGCTACCAAAATCCTCTCCAAATTTGTCTCCGCTGACAATGGTGCTTCACAAGTCATCAATGCCTATCTCCATCGTGCTTCGGATGCTTTCACTGAGCTCAACCAGCTTCATAGGGAGCTTAAACTATCGCAGTCTCGTAGGAAGAAAAGCCGAAGCTGCATAACAGATGATAGTGGGAGAGTAGGTGAAAGTTCTGTTGTTACGAGTGTTGATGTGAAATCTGAATTCGGGATTATAAGGGAAAACATTCGTGGTGATGAAAAGTCGATTGAGAATGATGTTAAATTGGGTCGAGAGTTTAATGGTTCTGTTGTGGGTGGAAGTGAAAAGCGTAGTAAGAAAGATAAAAAGAAGAGTGAATTTGGGGATAAGGAAGGTGATGAAAAACTACTGAAAAAAGAGCAAAACGAAAATGAATTGGGTCGGGGAGATGAAGGAATGGAGGAGGGAAAGAAACAGAAAAAGGACAAGAAGAAGAAGGACAAGAATTTAGAACGTGAGAGTGCGAAGGTACGAGAACAACAGAAAGAGATAGAAGCAAAGATAAGTAACAATGGAAAAGTAGCTACTAGGGTGAAAAATGAAATCGAATTAAGTCAGGGCGGTGAAGGAGGAACGGAGGAGGGAAAGAAGCATAAAAAGGAGAAGAAGAAGAAGAAGGAGAAGAATCTAGAAGGCGAGAATGCAGAGGAACAAAAACAACAGAACGATATAGTGAAAAAGATGAACAACAATGTGAAGGTTGAGAATGGAGGGCTGGTTGTTCCTCAGGATATAGAAGTTAGATCCAAAAAGAGATATGAAGCAGGGAGTGAGAATAAATTACATGCTGAAGAGATAAAGACAGAGCAAAGGAAGAAGAAGAAGAGGAAGAACGAAGATGTGGAAGATAGATCTGAGGAACAATCTAAGAAGAAAATGAAAAGGAAACATGATGAGGGTCAAGCTTAAATTTAGGTCTTCATTAAATTCGCTTGATGACTGGTACATTTTTTTCTTCAATTTTGATCAGGAATTTTCACTTGCAAGATTGCTTACATTGTGGCATCACTTTTTGTACTATCATAGAACGTAGATGAATTTGCTTATTGATTTCTCTTCCTCATTGTTTTTGTCATACTTGGATTATGCCTAAGTTTATGTGTTTTTACTATATTCACTTGGGATAGTTAAGTCTTTTTCAAAATTGATGAAGAGTTTTCTTTCATTTGTAAGGCATCACTTTTTGTACTGTCATATAACATGAGGTAATTTGCTTCTTGATTCCTCTCCTGTATTTTTGTTTTGTGTGGATATATTTTGTTGTAGTCTTACAACTGTTACGGCAATGAAATGCGATTTTTCTATTGATTGCTACCATTAATTATGGTGATGGAGCAATAACCAGATATCACTGGCTCTGAGAGTTTACACATTTGTTTCATTGGAAAAAAGAGAATACCATGTCATTTGAAATCCTCCAACCGGTTCTTAACATTAAATGCCTATATATCTGATTTTGCTACAACTGATGCAGAGCACTTGCAGTGTGCATATGCATAATTTTAGGACAAAAGCTTTTTTGCCTTGGCCTACCCTGGAATTAAAACAGAATGTATACACTGACATTAAGTTCTGAAAATTTAAACAAGTGATATCATCAAGTCAGATTAACAGTTTTATGGTGGAGTATATATAAGTGATCCCTATCAGAGAAAAGAGGGAATGTCAAAATTTGAAAAGTGAGAACAAATTAAACTCGTCAAAAGTTTGCTTTAGCTTTTATTTGTTTTGAATAATTATTCAACTACTCTCTTGATCAATGGATCTCAAATCCAAATGACTGTCTTGGGTGTTAGTGAAGTTTGCGGGATTGGGTGGCGAATATTCGTTGTTGCTGTTCCGATGGCATTTGGAGAGGTGCAGGCTCAGTTCCGGTCTCCAGCTGCTTTTGTTTCAGTTTCTGCTGCTCCAATTCAGGGTCTGATCTGGAGCCCGTCTTTTAGCATAGTTTGAATTTTGTATTGGCGGCTGGTGTATTTTTGTTCTCTGGTTTTTTATCAGTTTCGGAAGCTATTGTATCTGTAAACTCTTTTGGCATTTCTTATGCCCTATTAATTTAAGTTTTCTTGCTTTGGCTTTGGCCTTCCAAAAAAACGATGATTTATGGCATGTATTCCAAACTTTTTAGCTTCTTTTGCTATTATAGACAATTGGATACAATTTGAAATGACTTTTTTTCCCTAGGAGTGGAAAGGGTTTGCTAGAGCCTTGAGATTTCTCATTCACATTATGGAGGCTTGCTTCATCAAAGTTTGGTGTTTGCTAATTGCACCCAAAACTCTTGCCACCCCTAACTCCACCATGACACACAGCTTTTGCGGACAGACAGTACCCTCACAAGCATCCACTCCTCACCTAACTTCACTAGAGTGCCTCCTGGCTTGCCCTCCTGCTCCCACTGCCTGTAGATATGAATTTGGAATATCCTCCTCTGTAGCCACTGTGGCATTTTTGTGGCTTGGTGACTTTACTGTTGAATGACTTGAGATTTCATATTTATGTGTATGCTGATAAATCCGTGTGATCGCGCGAGTCCCGTTTGGATTCATATCACATATATCTAATTTTGATTTGTAAAATTTCTTTATATATATCAAAGATAAGTTAATATAATTCAACTAAAATTCAATCTATTTTAAACCAAATAGTATTTTGAACCAAAATTCATATTACATATTTTTCACGATCAATTTTTAAGCATTTATCTGTATTTATAATAAATTGTACAATCATTTTTATAAATTCAAAATTATATATAACAGCAACAAAAGAAATAATTATAAGAGATGAACATTAAAATGATCAGTTTACAGTTGATATCTCATAGATATATTCACATCTACTCGTGATTCTAGATGAATTAACAAAACTCAATTAAATTTAGATGAGTTAATTTTAAAATTACACATTCGAATAAAATCATTTTTTCAATTCAAAGAACATTTCTTTTTAAGATATTAGTCAATTTTTCTAAACCTAAAATTTATGACAGCATCCGTCAAATATCAGTTGGAAATTATAAATGGAACAAAAAAAATATATAAGTTGAAATAATATATAAGTTGGAAATTGAAATATTAGATGAGATTTTATTGAAAAAAGATAGACTTCTCCAAATCAAACCCAAAAAAAAAAAATAAAAGTTGGAAATTAAAATATTATGTGAGATTGTATTGAAAAAGACAAACTTCTTCAAACCAAGCACAACACACATGCAGGGTTCGGTATTGTCAAGCGACATCATGTTTTCACTAATTCAAATCGGGGTTTTTGCCAACAAATCAAAATTCTCGTTTTACTTAGACACTTCAATCATTAGTTGGAAAATTAAGAAGCAGTCATCCAAAAGTATTATTAATTAAATCAAATAGATTTTAATCTCATTTAAAATGTTAACTCAATAAAAATTCCACAATTGTTCATAAACTCAACTATCTCCATTCATTATTGTACACCATATAAAGTTTTAAAAAACCCCAATTTATGCATACAATTAACATCCTAAATTCTTCAGCATTTGCCAAGCTGTCAGAAGGCATCAGACCAACATGGCTCCAACACTTATAATTACAACTGTAATTTTGAAATAATAATTTTAATCCAGACATAATATACAAACCTTAATTTAAAAAAATCTGGACACAAGAACTAATGTGCCTTATGTTTGTATTACTTAACATAAAATACACTCAAATTATACCAACAGCAGTTTGTAAAGCTCTACCAGCACTGCAGACAGTCCTTTAAATAGGGTCAATTGGCTCGTTATCTACTACGAGACTTGCATAGGAACCATCATATGTTGACTCTGAGATTGAAGAATAAAAAAATATCAATATAAAAAATCATAATATTACGTATATCAGCATAAATTTCTCAATACGATATAAATTTATAAACCAAAGAGAAAAAACCTCCATGTAATAAATGCACAATACTATATGCAGGCATAGTTAAGCCAACTCTTTTACGGTAGTTGGGTTTAGAGGAGAGGCTAGTCTTAACACAAGGCAACAAACTACAGTACAATTTCATGTATCTAAACCAATCATCTCTATTGCTTTTTGGTTCCAATATAAATAATACTTCGTCACCACCTTCGGGAAATACTGCAGATACAAAAATTAACTTAACAAAACAAATATGATTTCTACAAAAATATATATGCTAGTGTGCCTCAATGTAAAGCGAATAGGTAAAACATCAACACGAATCTTATCATGGTTGATTATAGAATTCAAAATTCTATTCCTTGTTAAAATTACAGCTGACATCTCCTGCGGCAAGTTTTGGATCCTTGCTCTTAGTAGCAATCATAGTTTTGATAAACTCTGATGGAGACTGAGTAAAGCTAAGAAATAAAGCACATCAACCTATTCTTTCTACAGTGGTATAACAAAAAATGAAGACATTTCTTTCTGCAGTGGTATAGGCACTTCAACCTGTATGTCGTAACATGCAGTTCCAGCAGGACAATCACCAGAAAACATGATATTATGCTCCAAATGTATAGGCTTTGGTGGTGACAAATGGTCTAACAACTTCTAAGCAACTCCGCATCAAGGTCAGTTCACATATGCAAAACAAACACCAATATATCATTAACCATTCCAAAAGTACACATACATGATTGAACATAAATCAGCCAGAACATATGCAGATGTTTGTTAAAGTCTTCACAGTACATAATTTTTCCTTAGATTTCGAAAACCAAACAAAGTCAGAGCCATCAGATGAAAAGTGAACTCGTGTTACATTTGGGAAGTGCTTCATGTCATACCAGGTGAATTATTAACTTGGTGAAATAATAATACTGTTGTACCCCAAAATTTTCTCTTTCTTTTCTCAAGACATTTCTCACCAAAAATCTCAAATGTTCAAAGGTTCTCAAGGGTTGATCAGATAAGCCCACCTCCTAAGCATTGGGTCTATAAATTAGGGGTTTGTGTTTTCTCAAGGACAATTGGACTTTTGATACCTCAAGTGACTTTCATGACTCATTATAGATCTCCAAGAATGCTCATACCATATTTCAAGTCTTGCATCACAAATTTGCTCAACCAATTGCTCAGATGACTGAAAATCAGTTGTATTGGGTATAAAGTCAACAGTGGTCAATGTACAGTCAAACTTCAATATTTTTGACCAACATCAACATTCTGAAGTCATATTCATCAATTGATCAAGGGTTGATCACAATTCCTCAAGAAAAGCATTTAAATCATCAAAAGGGCAAAATTGTCAAAATTAGGGTTTTGATTGAGAATGACTGATCATTGACTTTTGACTTAATACATGACCTAATGGCTATGGTATTAAGGACTAGAACACAACATATTGACCTAATTTTATGGCTCAAATCATTTCTCAAGATTAAAGGATTGATAGTTGAAATTTGGATCAACTGGTGAAAAGTCAACTGATACACAAAAAGTCAAACTTTGACTTTTTGGTCAACATTGAATTTCAAAGATAAAAATTCATTAAGTCATTCAAAAATATCAAACTTGATCATCAAGAATCAAGAAAGTTAAGAAAAGTCCACAAAAAGTCAAAGTTTCCAATACTTAGAAAAATCCTAAGTGTTTTTGACCTTGATAATTTCACTACTTCATGACCATTTTTCACCAAGATGCAAGATGATTCAAAGAAAACTTTCAACATGAAAGTTGGAGATCTTGATGAATTTTAAAACTTTGTCTGAGGGTTGATGTCCAAAAAATGATTAGATTTGAAGATATAAGCCCATGAAGTCATGACATTTTTGTATAAACACTTAGTGAAATTTTCAACAAGCTTAGGCAAATTTTTGTCCTAACTTCTTGGCCAATTTTCACCTAGTTCCAATTTTATTTAGCCAAATTGGTCAACATTAAGGTTGTAGACAATGTTTCAAGATTTCCAAAATA